GAAATTGTATATGTTTCAAAAATAATAATAAAATATATATGTGGATTTTTTTTTTTTTTGCAAAGTAATGTAGATTTTCTTTTGGTAATATTATCATTTGAATTAGCCCAATTTTTTTTAAATCTAAACGAGTCAACGTGTTGGGTCTGGTCAAGTGGGGTTGATAGCAAGGCAAGTTCGAGTCTAGATTTGTGACCCATTTTTCTAAACGGATAATGTGAGTTGAAACCGAGCAATGGCGGGTTAGGACCAGAGCCAACCCAAAAACCCATTTTGAAATCCCTTAAAAATCCCCATTATCTTTTGGTAGGTAGTCACAAGGCTTATGAGTTGAAACCGAGTGAGTTGAAACCGAGCAATGGCGGGTTAGGACCAGAGCCAACCCAAAAACCCATTTTGAAATCCCTTAAAAATCCCCATTATCTTTTGGTAGGTAGTCACAAGGCTTATGAGGATAGTACTCACATATGATGCACCGACACTTCTCCTTAAATAAGCATGCATTCAAACATATATTGATCACGACATGCGTCCGACACTCCTCCAACGCGTGTCGGACATGCCGAAGATGTGTCAAATTAAAAAAATATTAAAAATAAATTGGACACACGTCTTAGATACGTGACTAAAATATTTTATGAATTTTTTTTAAATATAATTTAGCGTATCTAAAATTTTTATTTAGTATAAAATAAAAACTAGATTTCTTATTTCCTCACTAAAGTCCTAAATTAATTGCCGCGCTTAATACCTCATTCCCTGAACAATTCTTTTTTTATTTCACTCTAACAAGTTGTGGCTAATGTTTCACAGCAACGCTAGAAGCCAGCTTAATATCGACGTCTAATGCTGTCATAATATTAGTATTTTAAAACCATCTCAAAATCAAAGTCTGACATTATATTGGCATTGATGCTCGACGCTAACAATTTTTACATCCACAATCACACCTCATGAAATCTGGACATCTCATCTTTGTCCAATGTTGTCTTAACATTGACGATCGACGTCATCTCGAGATTAACAACCGATGTTACCTTGACATCAAGCCTGATGCCCATTCCACAACAACAATGCTCGACTATCGAGAACATTAGTGTCTCTCCACTCGATGCCTAGCACGACATCGATACCTAACTCTCGACATTTTATTATTAATTATTTTAGTACAAATCATAGTTAAATTATCTATTATTTCTAAATTATTTTAAATATTACATTTATTTAATTTTTATACACTATTTTTAATCTATAAAAAAATCTAATACCCTATCCAATCCGTATTTTTGTCCTATATTTTCAATAATTAACATGTCCCGTGTTTGTATCGTGTTGGATCTGTGTCTCTATGCCCGTGTCTATGTATCATGGGTACTCACCTTAAGTCCCACCTCAACGCAATTTTAGTGAAAAATGCCTTGAGGCTTATGCCCCAAGTTTTTTATGAGGCTCGCGCCTCAGTTTAGTTGAGGCATGAGTCGCCTCACTGGCATGAGGCATACGCCTCACCCTTTTAATAGATTGACCTAGTATCATTCCATTTTCTAGTCCGCTACTATTAGTTTAATGCTTCAACAGCAATTTCCTTCATTAGACCTTGAGGAGAAGGTGCTTTTTTGGGAGGGGAATATTAATGGACCGACAGTTGAGCTGGTGGGCCCCACTATGATGGGTGGCAGGCAAGAAGAGAGAGGGAGAATTGCTTATAAAGGAAACTGCTGTTGAAGCACTAAACTAATAATAGCGGACTAGAAATGGAATGACACTAGGTCAAACGATCTCTGCCTCGAGCATCTCCCTGATTAATCTCTCAATCTCTTCGTCCTGGATTTGCGGATGACGGTACAGGCAAACAGTGATTCGTGAGACTCCTTCCTTCAAGATGATAACATACTCGCGTTCCCATAGAGAATGCATCCCCTGAACTGGCTGGAACACCCCTCAATACACTATTGTAAGGCTGGTTAAATCATGTCTGGTGCTTATATATTCTCCCCATCTTTTTCTCCTTCCAAACTCTATAACTCTAACAAAAATCCAACTCCTTCACCATTTTCCCCCTTGTATGTGGCCCCAAAGGTGGCATCTCCTCTTCTTCCCCCAATATTTCCACCTCTCAATCTTCCACTCTCTTTATCAAATTAGAGTTTCCTCCATTCCCTTGGTGGGCGGTGGCTCCCCCGACCTCCGATGATGCCTTTTTTTTGTTTGGACAATGAGTATCTTCCTCATCATCTCCTCCATGATAAAAAACTTCTCATTAATCTTCTCATGAATTGCAGAACTTTGACTTTGAAAATATGAAATTTTAGATTTTAATTGTCTAATCTCCTCTTTCAACACTTCTTTTTTTCTTTCTGTCATGGGTACATGAATTAATGCTCTGATAATAATATGATATGAAGTGGATGCAATTCCAGCAAAACCAGATAACGACACAAAAAAATTATGAAGAAAAACACACAAGAACTCTTTTTAATTAAAAGAACTAAAAAGAAAAACAGAAGATACAGTTGGATATTTAATTAGACAGGAAGATACAACTCTCTCAAATCCCTAGCCGCCGGCTAGAGTCCACTCAACCTAACCAAAACTAATTCCAAAAAAAAATCAAGCATAATCTAAAATCACCCTATAGTGAGCGTTAAATAGACTCCATTAATTCCCTCTCAAATCATCCCCCTTACCCTAAATAATTCCCTCTAAGACTTGAATTCAAATTAAATCACTTTCTCTAATTAATTTTCTCCCAATTATAGTTAAAATTTTTCTAAACAATTCTCCCTTGATTCCTCCTTACAAAATGAATATACACTCCCCTGGGCTTTCCCTAAGTAATTCTCTCCCAAATTTGAATTCAAATTAGACATCTTTCCCTAATTAATTCTCACTCAATTGTAATTAAAACTTTCTTAAACAATTTTCTTTTGATTAAGAACTTTCCTATATAGCTCCCTCTTGATTAGGAAACTTCCTAATTCCCTCCCAATCAAATCGGTCAGTCCATCAATACTCCCCTCTCAAATTGTTACCTTGTAACGAAGGAAATTACTGCTGAAGCACTAAACTAATAGCATTTGGATAAAAAATGGACTCTCACTAGGTCGAATGATCCATGTCTCTAGCATCTCCCTAATCAATCTCTCAATCTCATCCTTCTGGATTTAGGAGGAATGATAAGAATGAATAATGATATGTGAGACTCCTTTCAAAATGATAGCATGCTCGTGTTCCCGCGAAGAAGAAAACCCCTGAACTAGCTAGAACACCTCTCGATAATATTGTAGGAGTGGACGAACCATGTTTGATGCATTTATTTTTTCTAGATCTTATTCTCCTTACAAACACTGCAGCTCTACCAAAAATCTCATTCCTTCACCCTTTCCCTCCTTAAAAGTGGCTCCAAAGGTGACATCTCCTCTTCTTCCCCCAACATTTCCACCTTCTAATCTTCCCCTCCTTGTTGGATTGGAGTTTCCTCCACTCTCATGGCTGACAGTCGCTCCCCCAACCCCCCACCTCCCTCCCTTCCTTGGGCACGCTCTAACCTAACATCTGTTTTTTGGTTTGGACCTTGAGCATCTTCCTCATCATCTCCCCCATGATGACAAATTTCCCATCGATCTTGACATGGATAACTGAAATTTGACTTTGAAAATGTCAAATTTTAGAGTTCAATTATTTAATCCCCCTTCCAACACTTCTACCTTTCTTTCTTCCATAGGTAATCAGATCTATACTCTGAAAACAATTTGATAGGAAGTTGGTGCAATTTTAGCAAAATCAAAGAACGGCTTAAGAAATTTAGGAAGAAGAACCTCAAGAACTCTTTTTATTTAAAGAACTAAGAAGAAAAATACAAGATACAGTTGGATATTCAATTGAGAAATACCCGGCTCTCCCAAATCCCTAGCTGGCGACTAAAGCCCTCACAACGAAAAAAATTCTAATTTCAACAAGCTCAAAACATAAACCTAAAATCATCCTATTGTTAGCCTTAAATAGGCTCCCCTAATTCCCTCCCAAATCAACCCAATTTTTTATAAAAAACTTTCTCTCATATTTGAATTCAAATTAGATCTCTTTCCATAATTAATTACTTCCCAATTATAATTAAAATTTACCTAAACAATTTCTCCTCTCTCTTCTTATCCACCACCCACCCTAGTGGGGCCCACCCGTTTAGCCGCCAGTCCATCACACTATTACAAATAACAACAACTAGACTTAACAGGAGATACATCCATAATCGTAAATGGACAATCATTAGAAAGACAACAAACATGTATCATATAACTCAAACTTTATCTTTGTGCTAAGAGTGAAGGAAAGAAATTCTTATATTCCTTGTGATCTTTTTTTCTCTCATATAAAAAAACTCTCGGCTATCTGTGAGTCAGAAGAGTGAACCACATAAATCATTTTCCTCTGTGTACCACTCCTTGTTGTATGTTGTCTCTATGGCTTACTCATGGATTATTTCAAATATGGTTCATTCTCATCCTAGACTTTCTCTAAACCTTAAACGGTCAAATTTCTAGTTGCAAGTGACAGTACATTTCCCATTTATATTGCTATTTTCCTCTATTGCAAGCTGATATTGTGCCATAATTGTCTTGCTTCCATTGTTGTCACTTCTCTGTTGAATGCATCCCAGTTGACTGTTATATATGCTTTTCTTTCCTGTTGTTGATGCTGCCAATTTTTTCCCTTAGTTTAAGGAACTCTAATTATATAATTTTTAGTAAAATAAAGGATGGATATGCATGCCCACGTCCCTTTGTGCTCATGTTCTCGACTAGCACAATTATGTAAGACCCAAGCAATGCATGACTAAATCTAAGGATACAGATAAATCATAACAGCGAAGGTTTCCGGAAAACTCATTCAAATTTACAAGAAATTTTACGTAGGCCATTTAATTGTCATAGAAATAAAAATTCACTCATAATCAAACCAATTTTGCAAGCTTAAATATAGAGATAAAGATAAAGAAGCACCTTCTGATAGCCATGCCCATCTCCCAGCCTTCAGAGAGAGCTTCGAAGTGAGCAAGGCCGAAGCAGTGGCGCTGTGAAATGGCATCAAGGACTGCATAATATACAATTCTACAGGAAGCCTACAAACCAATAAACCACAGTCCCTGATCAAAAAAAAAAAAAACGAAACAAATACAATCAAACTTGAAATGCAAAATCTAAATAAAAAAAAAATCAAAACAACAAAGGAATTATTAATACACAGAACCCTAATTTTTCTTAAACCTTGTTCTTAAAAGTGTATTAGGCAATAAAAAAATTTTAAAAAAAAAAGTATATTAGACAATAACATAAGAAAAAAAAGTAGCATTTAAACGAGTGTCCCTTGGAATTCTTAAGAGAACCAAAACTTCTATCTTGGCGAATAGCTAAGCATATTAACATCCAAAATGAATAGCAGCATGATTTGACGATGACGCAGCCAAGCAGAATCCCTCAAACACAATTCTACAATGACTACAAGGAGAAGAAAATATAAGTGGAAAGGAAGGGAAAAGAATCGGGAAAAATACCTCGAAGTACTCGATGGCAGTACCCGGCGTGTTGCGCGGGCAGAGGCGCAAGCAGGAAGGGAAGCACTTCGACGTAAGCTACCCCTAGAGGAAGTGGAGCGGTGGAGAAGGGCTCGACGTGCAGCGCCGACAGACGCCGCCATTTCCTCACTCCGGTGCCTTTCTAGATCAATCGAGGAAGTAGAACGGCTATCGCGACAAATTTATAGGTGTGTTGGGAAGTATGCACTGCGTTTGGAGGAGAATTATGCGTTCCGTGATTTATATTTCAATTTTAATTTTATATTTAATATTTAATTTAGGCAGCTCGTGCTGTCTTGCATAGCAATTATTATGTCAGGTCATCTAACGCGTCCAGAGAGTAATAATCACGCGCCACATCACTCGAAATTTGATATTGAGCACTCGGTATTGCTCGGTATACGTTCGGATTTCCGATTTTTTGTCCGAACGTAATAATTACTCGATGGAAGCGGCCCCAGTTTTATCAGCCCGAGCGCCAACATGTTGTTCTCCATCTTCCCTTACTAAAGTAGGGGAGCCAAAATTTTTATTTAATTTTTTTTATCATCTCATTTGGAAGATTAGAATATATTAAAATAATTTTATTTATTGTCTCATTTCCGGAGTCAAAAGAAACAATAAAATCAAAATTAAGAATGCAAATAATATGACCCGGGCAAAAGGTGGATTGAAGACTTGAGAGGCAGCATAATTAATGGCAAAGTACGAAATTTTTATTAAGTCTAATCCATTTTAATTTGTTGATCGCAAGTTTTAATTATTGAGATTTTAGATTTTAAGTCTTACATATATTATGTATTTATGAATTTGACTTAATTGACCTAAATGTCCAAAATAAAACATAAAATTTTTTTTTTCATATTTTTAATTGAGATTATAATTTATTTTTATATAAAAATTAGATTTATAGATGAATAAAAGAATAAAGATGATTAATTATAATTCTACTTTAATAAATAATAATAATATAAAAATTAAAAATCTTTTTTTTTTTTTGTAGTACATGGCGGGGAGAGGGTACAGCTTAACCCATCATTGGCCTACTTCTTGTAACATGGATAACTTAACTCTTTCTTAGAACCTAATCAACTTGCTTCTTTCCCTTACTCCTCACAACTCAATTTTTATGCTCAGTGGTTCATACTAATTTATCTTCCATATTCTTGAACATTCTCTTCATTACAAACAAATGAAGGTTACAACAGCCAAGAAACAAAACAAAAAAGGCACCTACATCTGAACCGAACTAGACAAACAATCTTCCTCAAGAATATTAAAAAAAAAATCTTGAGGCAAATACAAATAATTCCCTTCTATTTACTTCCACAAAAAATGTCCTCCATAGCCTTTTGGGTACAATAGTGTGTTGCTTTATTACTTTCTCTCGGTCTGTGCACGAAAACTACTATATTAAACAACTTAATCCAGTTGTACTCTTCTCCTTCCTTAGCATTATCCTTTCACCAAGCCTCCTTGCACATTTTTTGCATATGCATCATAACGCTAGCATTATCTCCCTCAATCATAATAACTTGCATTCCCATCATTCTATTGTCAACAATCTTACCGATATATTTCAGTGCAGTCAATTCTACCTACAGACTATCCCAATGTACAATACTCTAGCTAGTAGCTAACAATAACTTACCTTGGTGGGAGGAATAAGCTTTAACATGCTTTTTATCAGTCCTATTCTTCCAGCATAAGAACACCACATTGCAGTACAAAACAGCCCAAGAGATCTCCTTTTTTATTAAATTTACCAATCTTCTCCTGCAATTCCTGAAAGTTCATGAACTTAGGCAGCTTGAATCCCCACTTCTCCAGGGTCTTAAGAACCAGCTTGACCTGTATACATTACACAACAACATGTGTTAAATCTTCCATAGCTCGACAATTAAATAGACAACCCATCCCACTATGCAGTCCAAGTTTAAGCAGCCAATCCTTCTTGGGAATAACCCCGTTATACATTCTCCACCAGAAAAATCTGACTCTAGGGAGTAATTTGAGCTTGTAAATGTCAACCATCATATCCTCTTCCAGCTTGAATTGCTCCCTATAAACAATAGTTGAAATAGATCTACCAATTGGAGCTTTCATAAGCTCCAAGCTGAATTAGAAACTCCTGTAAACACAACAATATCATCAGAATATACTATGTGAGAGACCATAGGTCCCCTCACCGAAGTTGGCACCCCTATAAACTGATCCTTTTGTTGCAACGCCAAGGAAAGTAATTCCGAACAGAGAATGAATAAGTAGGGTGATAAGGGGCACCCTTGCCTAAAACCACACCCAACAATAATCCAGTCAGTCAACTGCCCATTAATGAGTAAAGAAAACCTGGGAGATCTAACACAATTCATAACCCAACATCTAAACCAAGAAGGGAACCCCATTCTTAATAACACCAACTCCAAAGTATCCCAACTCATCATATCATATGCATGCTCCATGTCAATCTTCAAAGCAAGCATCCCACTCTTAGCAGTAGAAATTTTGAATCTATTTATTACCTCTTGGGGAATAATGTAATGATCTAAAATGGATCTCCCAGGAACAAAAGCATCCTGCTCCTCCAATATAATCAGGGGAAGAACCGGCTTAAGCCTGTTCACAATAACCTTGGCAACAACTTTATAAATTGTCTGGCATAAGCTAATAGGCCTTAGCTTAGAGAGGTGATTCGGTTGAGCCACCTTAGGAATTAAAATGATCATTGTTTCTTTCCAATCTTCCAACATAACTGTGCTAAAAAATTCCAAGTAGGCTCTTGTCACCTGCTCTCCAACAATGCTCCAAAAATTCTTAAGGAAATAAGTAGTGATCTCAACCTTGCCAAAGACCCATTCAATTTATGCACCATCTCACTCAAGTCAACCACTTGATTATCTGATAGGCCATCCCGAACACATTCCAATTGTGGCAGACATGCAATATCACCCTCAATATCCTTCTTTTCCTTCTCAATTTCTCTAAACTTGTTCTTACTCCAAAAGAAAAGAGACTTGAGTGTTTTTTTACATTTTTTTCTTCAATTTATACATCTCCAAACTAGCATCAATGATGCCCCACTGCTTTAGAACAATCCTCCAAGAAACCAGATAAGCAAGCTAAACATCTTCAAATTTAAACTAGGTTGAACTCCTTATGTTACTACCCAGAATACAATAAAGGATCGGGCAATGATCAGAGGCAACCCGAATAAGGTGCTTAACCAGCAAATCCTGTAATGAACTAAAAAAACTTAAGCTCACTAAAAAAGTAATCCAGTCTAAACCAGATCTTACTTCTCCCTCTTTGTTATTGGTCCAAGTATAAGCTGGGCCAACAAAACCAGGGTCTACAAGATCATTCATAACCATGAATTCCTCCATCTCATAAATTGCAAAAGAAATGCTTAGACGACTTACCTCCTTTCTTCTCATCTTGTGAAAGGATACAATTAAGATCACCATGAAACATAAGAATCCTATTAGTGTCATGGTGCCTAGAAATGTCATCCCACAAGCTCCTAGTCATCTTCTCATTGCTGGCATACATAATCGCAAATCTCCCAATAGAATCCATCAGCACTCTGGATATCTCCCATCAAGCATTGTTGTGATTGTAGCTTCTTCTAAAAAGAAACGACCCCATCCTTCCAAAGCAGAATAATACCACATGCCTTCCCAACAAAAGTTTTGAAACTCAAAATTCCATCCTCTACCAATCAGCTTATCCACATTGCTTCTACAAAACCCTTCTACTTTGGTCTCCACCAAACCACTAACATTCACATTATTCTCCCCTACTAAGCTTCTAAGATAATTGCCCACCGTAGACGTGCAAGCTCCCCTACAATTCTAACAAAGTATGTTCGTCATTGATCAACAAAAGGGGACACGTCCTCGCTGATCGATCTAGGCAACAAACCATTCTCAAAATCCTCCAGTAAATTGTTAGCCTCTTCTCTACCCTTACCAAATTTGAATCGTGGCAGATCAACAATTGGGCCAAGGCTCTCTAATTCTTTAGCTAATAGCACACTAGTTATCTTCTTTTTCTTATCTTTTAAAATAGAAGCACCAGCTCTATTTATCTTAGTATCAGAAATAGCATGTTGGGCAAGTCATTAAAAGCACCATTACTAACTAAATCCTTAGTCAACATAACACTATCAACCACTCATTTTTCCTCTTTAGAAAAGAGCCTCCTATTTTGTCAGATATGCTACCTGAAGTAGTCAAAACCTTAGGAGTAGGTTTAATATCAGAAGTCTTACTATTAGTAACCTTCCACCTTTTCTTTATATCAATGAACTTTTTCTCTGAGTAATTATCTTGCCTTTCCTTCATACCAACCATAAGAGCATCAGTCACTGGTTGGTCATCAACCTTTCTATCAGATTTATGAACTATAATGCCCTTATCCTTATCTGTCTTCTCCACATTCACCTTAGACACTTCCCTCAAAACAGGACAATTGACAACATCCTTAGTGGCCCTCCCCTGCTTACTGAAACTTCCTCTTCTTCTCATGACCGCAGTCTAGTTCCCAACATCATCATTCAATTTATATGGCTTCCATATTCATCTATATTGATTGCCAATATTATTTAGTGTTTCATAATCTCTTCTTATTTGTATTCATGGGCAATATTTAGATCTTTTTATTGACTATAAAAAGTAAAAAAAGAAAGAGGGAGAGGGAGAGAGAGAGATAGAAGAAGAGAACAATATAATGTTATATTGCCTGAAAATAGAGAGAGGTTGAGATAATAAGCTCTATATCTCTCTCTCTCTCTCTCTCTCTCTCTCTCTCTCTCTCTCTCTCTAAATTTTCCATTTGATCTCATGCTTATAGGTGGGAATAAAGATAACTTTATTTTTTTAATCTTAGAATCGCATAAGCTAAAGAGTTAAACCATTTATGCCTATTACCTCATATGCTTGTTAGAGTAGTGTCTTATCTTTCATCTTTTCCTTCTCTCATATCTTCTCACATTTTCTCTCTAATAAGAACAAACTTAGCTTGATATCCCTTTTTTTTCTCTCAAATAATATCCACCTTTTTTTTGCAATGCATCTTCCTTCAAGATAAGAAATTTGTGTGCCACATCTTTTATGATCTTCTTGAGAGTATTGAGCCAAAAGAAAAATTGGTATTAGAGATCATGTTTTAAGGAAATACTAGAGGCACTCTTCATTGCCTAATTGCCTCC